TCATTTGAGGACCATATGAAGAACCTGAAGGAAGTCTTTCAGCGCTTAAGAAGTTCCGGCCTGAAGCTAAGCCCGAAGAAATGTCACTTGTTCCAGAGGGAAGTGCAGTATTTGGGACATGTTGTTTCGAGTCAAGGAGTGGCAGTGGACAAACAGAAGGTGAAGACGGTGCGGGAATGGCCAATACCGAAGAACAAACATGACTTAAGAAGCTTTCTAGGATTATGCACCTACTACCGTCGGTACGTACCAGGATTCGCAAAGGTTGCTAAGCCTTTGACACGTTTAACAGAGGGAGAACGACGATTCCAATGGGACGACGAATGTCAGGAAGCCTTTAAGAACCTGAAAAACGCGTTGACCAGCTCACCAGTCCTGAGTTATCCTCTTCCGGATGGTGAATTTATTTTGGACACGGACGCCAGCAATGAAGGCCTGGGAGCTGTTTTGTCGCAGATTCAAGAAGGAAAAGAGAAAGTTATTGGATACTTCAGTAAAACTCTATCGAAACCAGAGCGAAATTACTGTGTTACTCGACGCGAGCTGTTGGCAGTGGTAAAAGCAGTCGAAAACTTTTACAAGTACCTGTATGGAAGAAAATTCTTGCTAAGAACGGATCATGCTGCCCTTAAATGGCTTTTGCAATTTAAGAATCCTGAAGGACAGGTAGCAAGATGGATTGAGAGACTACAGGAGTTCAACTTTGATACAGAACATCGGGCTGGGACCATCCATAGAAATGCTGACGCCTTGTCAAGAAGACCGTGCCCGGAAGACTGTAAACATTGTCTCAGGGCCAAAGAAAAGGATGTGTTTGCTCGCAGGACTACAATCGTGGATGATCATTGGCAATCCGCTGAGGTTCAACAAGACCAGGAAAGGGACCCGGATTTAAAGCTTATCATCGATTGGAAGAAAAACGACCGTAAACCAACGTGGCAGGAAGTCGCCCAATATTCGCCTAATGTAAAATCGTACTGGGCCCAATGGAATTCCATCATCTTAAGTGACGGGCTTCTAAAGCGCGTTCTGGAGATGCCAGAAGGAGGGGAAGACCGGAAGCAGATAATAATCCCCAGAAACAGGATACCAGAAGTGCTGCAGGAAATCCATGATGGAACTACTGGAGGACATCTTGGGGTGACCAGGACGCTCGGAAGACTTAGGGAACGGTTTTATTGGGTCAACAGTCAACGGGATGTGAAGGAATGGTGCAATAAGTGCGCCGTTTGCGCGGCAAGCAATGGACCCCAGAAGCGCCCAAAAGCCCCAATGCGACAGTACAATGTGGGCAGCCCATTTGAGAGAATTGCAATCGACGTGGCGGGTCCATTTCCGGAAACAGAATCTGGAAATAAATACATCATCGTTGTAATGGACTACTTCAGCAAGTGGGCGGAAGCGTACGCCTTGCCAAACCAGGAAGCTGCCACAGTGGCCGATGCCCTTATTAAGGAGTGGATTTGTCGTTTTGGTGTGCCAATGGAGATGCATTCAGACCAAGGCAGGAACTTTGAATCTATATTGTTCCAGAATGTCTGTAAGATTCTTAACATTCGGAAGACGAGGACGACTGCATTACATCCGCAGTCCGATGGAATGGTAGAACGAATGAATCGAACGATAAACCGGTACCTGTCGAAGGTAGTCTCTGATCACCAAAGAGACTGGGACCGCTTCCTTCATCTGTTCCTGTTAGCATACCGTTCTTCTATCCACGATACAACCGGCCAGACACCCGCTAGCATTGTTATGGGACGTGAACTTCGTTTACCTTGTGACCTGAGGTTTGGTTGCCTACCAGGGGAAGATATTGCTGGAGAAGATTACGTTAGCAATTTACGTAGGAAAATGAGCGACATTCACAGCCGAGTTCGTTTAAACATCCAGAGTGCCAGTGATAGAATGAAAGAGGCATACGACATCAAGGCGGAAAATGGAGGATTTCAACCTGGAGACCTAGTTTGGTTATACAACCCTCAGCGCCGTCGTGGTTATTCACCGAAGCTGCGGGCTTCTTGGGAAGGACCATACGAAGTCATGGATCGCATAAATGACATCATCTACAGGATCAGAAAACAACCAAGAGGAAAGCCGAAAGTGATTCATTTTAACCGATTGGCTCCTTACGCTGGAAACAATGATGACCAAATGGACGATGCTAGAGTAAGGAGGGTTAATCTGCCGGAAGAGGAGTTGCCTTTTGAAGATTTCATGTATTTATATTCGAGTGGTAAAAAAGCTCGGTATGGTGTCACTCGAGAAGAACAAAAAGATCTGTTCACGGTTTCGGCCGATTACTCCTTGGCTCACTGTGTTGCGGAAGACCTTAGGATTTCACGCACTACAAAAAACATCTGAAGGTAAAAGTTCTTCAGGTCAACCGTTTCAAAGATATCAGCGAATAAAAATAACACTAATAAATTTTTTTAAATATTTTCAAATAAAATACAAAAAAATATCATATGCCATATTTATATTATTTTTTATGTAAAATCACTCTAATTCTGTTAACCTAAGACTGTAAACTTTTTTTTATTTATATAAAGGTACATATACATATATATACAATAGGGTGAGCCAAAAAAACTAACTTATCGCATTTATGGGTTAAAATGAACCTACATACCGAGCAAAAAATTTCCCTGCAAGGAAAAATTTTTTGCTCAATTTTAAAAGGTGTCGGTGAGCATTCTAAGTTTTCCATTGAAATAACACGTAAAAAAATCTTTTTTCATTAAAAAGACTATAACTTTTGAACCGTTTGAGATAAAAATTTTTACGTCGCGGATTCTTGTAGAGCATAAAATTTCCCAAAGAATCTATACCAGGATTATTTTTTTAATTCAAAAATTCGTATGTTTGAAAGCTTTGAAAAGTGTAAAAAATCACTAAAACTGCAGTTTGAGTGATTTTTTACACTTTTCAAAGCTTTCAAACATACGAATTTTTTAATTAAAAAAAATAATCCTGGTATAGATTCTTTGAGAAATTTTATGCTCTACAAGAATCCGCGACGTAAAAAATTTTATCTCAAACGGTTCAAAAGTTATAGTCTTTTTAATGAAAAAAGATTTTTTTACGTGTTATTTCAATGGAAAACTTAGAATGCTCACCGACACCTTTTAAAATTGAGCAAAAAATTTTTCCTTGCAGGGAAATTTTTTGCTCGGTGTGTAGGTTCATTTTAACCCATAAATCCGATAGGTTAGTTTTTTTGGCTCACCCTAATATACAATGTATATTATACATATACATAATATGTCATATATACATAAAAAAAAGTTTACAGTCTCAGGTTAAAAGAATTAAAGTGATTTTACATAAAAAATAATATAAATATGGTATATGATATTTTTTTGTATTTTATTTGAAAATATTTGAAATTTTTTATTAGTGTTATTTTTGATCGCTGATATCTTTGAAACGGTTGACCTGAAGAACTTTGACCTTCAGATGTTTTTTGTAGAGCGTGAAATTGTCTACAACTCCTCCAGCTTGGGTGTTGCGAAAACAAACCATTCCAAAGTTATAAGAATTCAAAATTTAAAATATAAAAATTCTCGTGTTATAGAAATGGAAAAACAACAAATGAATTGAGGGCAAACCTTAATATTAATATTAAGAGCTCAAATATGCGCCAAAATTTTTGTTTTTTAATGTACTATTAATTTTTCATCACCATTAGAAAAAAAAATAATTTTAGTTTTTTTTTAAACACCCTAATATATATGGTGGATTTTGGGTATACCAATATCTCAGTTATTAGACTTGGGACCCACACTAAATTTATAATAGTTTATTATGACATTAAATAGACAAGTTCGGCACAAATAGAATTTAAATACAAGATTTATCAAAAAATATGATTTTTGCTCAAAAGTATTTTATACAATTTAGAAAATTATTATAAAGAAAAGATGTATACTATCTGTATATCCGCGGCATCGCTTTTGTGTTTTTTTCGGCACCTGTCATTTGTATAACTATCATTTTGACATATCGTCACCTGAGAATTATTGTGTTCTATCTGCATTTTCCTTTTTTTATTCAGGTTAGTCTTGTTTTAAGTCTTAAAGATGATATTGGTCTATCTATATATAATTGGGGTAGAAATTGTAAAGTTTAAGGTTTAAACTGTACAATTTCTATCCCAATTTTATATAGATAGAACAATATGCATCTTTAATACTTAAAACAAGACTAACCTGAATAAAAAAAAGAAAATGCAGATAGAACACTATAATTCTCAGGTGACGATATGTCACTTCAGCACCTGTCATTTTTATACCTTTTATTTTTATAACTGTCATCTGGTCACCTTTCATTTAAGCAACTGTCCTTTCAAAACCAGTAATTTTAACAGCCGTCATTTTGGCACCAGTCATTGTTGAAAGAAATCTTATCTATAATTTGTGGTGGTGTACATAGATGCAAAAACGTTTAAATAAATAAAATAAACTGTCACTTTATCAAAAAAAGCTTCAAGATTAAAATTGTATTAATCGAATAAAAACATATAATTGGATTTCTTTTTAAGTCAAAATCTCAACAGTCATTTTAACAGTTGTCATTTAGGCACCTATCATTTTGACCGTTGACATTTTGTCACCTATCATTTTGACAGCTGTTATTTAGGTAGCACAAAATCAAATGTCGATAGAAATAAAAAAGTTCCGTTTGAAAATAATTAAAATAATATTTTCTATTTAAATTTCCGATTCAATATAATTGTAAACGATGTAAACCAATACCAAAACACAATTAAAAATTATTAAAAAAGATTAAAATTTGTTGTCGGTTTCTATCGCGCGATGAATTGAAGGTAATTCCTTTTCGCCAAACCTTTAAAAGTAGTGATGCGACCCCTAGGCAAATAACTTTTATATTGATGTTGTGTTTATCGTAAAGTATAGATAATTTTACTCTACTTCATATAAGTTTGTATACTGTATACAGTAACACCACTGTATACAATTATAAATTATAAGTCATCTCACCTACAAAATTCTTGAGGCAAATCTCCACTACCAAACATTGAATATAAAAATGGTGTTTTGCCAAATCTTCCTAGGCTTTTCAAAAACTTTTTTGTATTTCCAATACCTTCTAGACAAAGTGTTGAATCGGTTGAATTGGAAATAGCATACAAAATATAATGGATTAAATTTTTACTTAACTTTTTATCTGTTAAGAAGCATTTGTACGTTTTTGATGCATAATCTACAATAACAATGTTATTAGTACTAAATTAAAATCTTTAACTTATAATAATTATTGTATTATTTGGAAAAAACTAAATAAGTGTATATGTGTATATATACTTATATACATATATGTATATAAGTTTAAATAATTTATTATTAATTGTTTCGACCTTTACTTAATAAAACTCCATATTAACTATGTAAATATAAAAACAACTATGTTTTGAAAGTTTCACGTAATTTATTTGAATGTTGACAATTGTTTCACATTCTGAAGAAGCTACTGTGTATCGAAACAATTGTCAACATTGAAATAAATTACGTGAAACTTTCAAAACATAGTTTTTATATTTACAAAGTTTAAATAAGTTATAAGTTATTAAGCCTATTATACCGAGTGTTCTAATTCCTAACCATTTCATGATCACTTATTCACCTTATGCATTTGATTTTTTTTTGTAAATAACGTCATATTCCTGCCCAATGTCACTAACTGACATTTTGTAAAAATGTTAACAAATTGCACTATACACATTTACCATATCTTTAATATTTAAAAGCCACTAGATGCCTAGAATATTAGAAATGGTCGTTTTTATTGTTTATATCAGTAAAATTATGTAATCAAATGTTAATTTAAATAGTGTTAGCTGTATGGTTTTATATTCTGAATTGACAGAAAGTTACTTTAGTTTTTATGATAGAGATGGCGCTAGTAGAGTTAAGGATGATAAGAAGTTTTGTCTGTCATGTTCTAAGTTTACTATTATAAATACATAATGATTAGTTAAAGATATAAGTGTATTATTGAAGATTCACGAACCTCCCACAGGTTATGGGCCCAGAACTAAAAGAAAATAAGAAAAACTGTGGAATTTGCAGTAAAAAGTTTTTTAAGGTTTGGAAGTAAAGTTTTGGGCAGAAAGTAGGGTTTTTAAAATACACAAAAAAACAGAACGAAAAAATGGAAAAGAATCTCAATCTCAATTTTTGCAACTTTCGGATTAAGTTAAAGCAAAAGCCAGGGCAACTGATGTTGAGGAATTGAGAACATTAAGGAAATCTGATATAAAGGCTAGGTCGCTAATTGTACAGTGTTTATCAGATAGTATTTTGGAATCTGTAAAAACACAAACAACAGTAGCAGAAATAATGAAAAGTCTGGAAAATAAATATTCAAAGAAAGGTATTTCTACACAAGTAATGCTACAAAAGCAGCGGAAAAGAGGTTTAAGATATGTAGAAGGAACACAATTAAATACATTTCTTACTGAATTTGACAACAGTTAAAGTTAAAGGCAGCAGGTAGAAAAATTGACGAAGGGGAGCTAATCCTACAGTTATTGTCAACAATGCCTGAATATTTTCAAAATGTCATCGGCAATTGACATGTTGTAATTTTTGTAAAAAACAAATTGCTCATGGAGGAAGCTAGGAAAGTAAAGTTAAAAGAAGAAGAAAATCCGAATATGGCTTTTATGTCAAAAACTTCAAGGGAAAGAGGAAACTGAAGAAGGCCTAGTAAAATCAACAGAGGATGTTTTAGCCAAAATTATGGTGGAAATAATGCAACTTCAAGTGTTCACTACTAGTGTAGGGAAGTTTTCCATTTCGGTGCCATTTATGTAACAATCCTGGTCATAAAAGAGAAGACTGTTTTATTAACCAGAATAGAAGAGGTGATTATCATGGTGGTTTTAGAGGAAACCATAGTCAGCAGAATAATGCTCATAATGTACAAGAAACTACAGATAAAAAGGAAGATGAACACATTTCTTTTTTGTCCATGGAAACTTCATTGTCTACATTAAATCAAGACAACATTAGTTTTGTAACTGACAGTGGATCAACGACCATTTGATTAGAGGCAATTGTTCCAAGTTTTTAAAAGGCTGTAAGATGATAGATCATAATATAAGTGTGACAAAACAAGGGCAGACAATAACAGCATCAAAGCAGAGAAATCTGGAACTAGAAACTGAATCTGGAAAAGCAGTTACAATTAAGTACCTATGTGTGGGTTTGTGAAGTTTTACTCTACAATTTGCTATCCGTAAGAAAACTTGAAGAAAATGGGCTGGAAGTAAACTTTAACAATGGGAAGGTTAGCATTATGAAAAAGAAAGTATGTGTGGTAGAGGAAAAATTAAAAGGCAAACTCTACTGTGTTAACTTTAATTTAAACAAGAATATTTATGTCAATTTAACAAGTGAGGAGAAAATAATGCTAAAACATAGAAAAATGGGACATTCCTCGAAGTTTCCGGCTCCATGGTTATGTGAGGTGTGTGGCAAATCAAAACAAACAAAAACACTTTACGAAAAACTTTCCAAGGAAAGAAAAGCAAAAAGAATACTGGAAACTGTGTCAACAAATATTTGCGGGCCAATAAAACCAACAACTCATGATGGGAAGTTATATTACATTTATTGATCATTTGTCACATTTTTGTGTTACGTACCTATTAAGCAACAAAAGTGAAGCCCTGGAAAAATTTTATGTGGCAATGGTTGAAGTAAAATTTGGCACAAAAATTGAAAAACTAAGGTAGGGAGTATATTTCCAGAGATTTTAAATTATTTTGTGTAAACAAGGGTATAAAAACTCAATATACTGTAGCATACAACCCAGAACAGAATGGAATTGCAGAATAGTATATTCTGTAACAAGTTTGGAATACAGCATATTCCTCTCAAGTGAAGAGTTTGTCACACGAGCCGAAGGCGAGTTTGACGGTTTCACGAGAGCGGAATATGCAATTCCAAACGTGTTTCAGACTACTTTTTCTACTATCATGGAAAAAGCAAGAAGCTTAATTTTTTATGCAGAACTAGGAAAATAGATGCGGGAAGAAGCTGTTAGAACAAGTGTCTATTTGATAAATAGAACAGAAACAAGATCATTAGAAAATCATAAAACCCCAGCAGAAGTATGTTACAATGAAAAATCTAATATGGAAAAAATAAAATAGTTTGGATGTAATGAATACAATTTAATACCGAAAGAGATAAGAAAGTCAAAGTTAGACCCAAGATGAATTAAAAAACCAAATAACACCTATTAAATGTGAAAATGATGAAAGTAGACCAGAAAAAGGAGAAGAAAATAAACCAGAAATAGAATAAAATGAAATAGAAGAAGAGGAAAATGTGAAAGAGAGACAAACAAGGAATAGTGTAAGAAAAACAAAATCACAAAGGTACTTAGAAGATTATGAAACAAATGATATGAACTTTTTTGCAGCATTTACAGTAGGTCATATTTGAAGCAGTTGAGCAAGATCATGGATGAAAAGATGCAATAGAAGAATTAAATGCTCTGGAAGAAAATAAAAATGGCAGTTAGTGATACCACCAAGATTCTAAAATTATAGACTCAATGGGTGTTTAGTGAAAAAGTTGTTGAAGGACAAGTGAAAAAGAAAGCTCGATTAGTGGCAAGAGGATTTAGACAGAGCGAGATGTCTATGCTCATGTAGCAAGAATGTCAAGTATCAGGTTGCTTTTGTCTTTGTATGTAGAATTAGACTAAAGGTAGAGGAAAGTCGCCTAATTTCAAGTAGGCGCCTAATTTCGGATAGTGGTGTATCTTTGAAACTAATCAAATCATTAAACGGAAATTGACTCTAATGCAATCTAAAAAGTCCAAGCAAGCATATCCAGTGTTATTTAGATGATACTAATCACTCTCCATTATATGGCAGTGGTAAGCATCGAAACCACGTTTCGTAGGTTTTTTTTGGTCATAGTTTAAGCCGTGTTTTTTTTATAAAGATAAAGATTCGTTGTAAAAATTTGTATTTTCTACTTGAACAAGGTAAATGTTTGTTTAAGACATTGTATTTGTCAAAACTTTTTTTAATGATTTTATTTAAAAAAACTTAACGCAAGAAGTATAAAGTTGAGTAATTTCGGATGGTTCACGTTTCTCAATTTCCCTATCCGAAATTAGGAATACAAAATTATGAACTAAACAAATTCCAACATTTAGAGTAGCCTAAGAAATATAATGTTTATATATGTAACTTATGCATGGAGTAATAAATATGTTGTTACTAAAAAAAGTTTTTTAATTTAGGATAGGGTGTCCGAAATTGGGAGCCCAATTTTAAATTTGCAAAAATTGCAATTACTACAAAAACCTCATTTTTTGTAATAAAAAAGCATTCAAAAATTATTTTATCTAAAATATTTTGATTATTTTGAAAAGGTATCTGAAATTAGGCGACTTTCCTCTATGTCAGTTACATGTTAAGTCTGCTTTCCTGAATGGAATGCTTTAATGTATCACCCAGAAGGACTTGATGTGAAAAATTCAAATTTAGATTGCAAATAACAGGAAGCACTTTATGCTCTACGTCAGTCACCAAAGTGCTGGAATTCACTATTTAATGATAACTTAATTGATCTGGGTTTTCAGCGGTCTAAAAAGGATCCTTGTATGTATTTCACTGAGAATACATATCTTTTAATACATGTAGATGACATAATTTTATTCTTCGTCACAAAAATTTAATATGAAAGAATCATAAATTTCCTCGGTTTAGAAATTATAAAATCTGGTGATGTAGTGTACATCAAACAGACAAGTTTGATTAAAGGATTTTGCAAAGATTTAATATGGTAAACTTTACCCCTCATAATTTACCCATGCAACCCAAATTTCAGATTACATGTAACGATAAATTACCTGTTTGTGACAGGAATATTCCTTACAGAGAACTGATTGGTTCATTAATGTATGTTATGCTTGGAACAAGACCTGAATTATGTTTTTGTATCAGTTATTTTAGCCAGTCTGGAAATTTGTCTGTCATTAAATATGTTCTAAGTTTACTATTATAAATACATAACGATTAGTTGAAGATATAAGTGTATTAATGAAGATCCACACACCTCCTACAGTTTTTGCATGGTTAAAAATTACTATAAACTGATGTAATAGATTTATTTAATATTTAATCTCAATAATAAAATGTTAGTTAGTGCAGGATTATGACGATATATAGTACATTGAATGACGAGTGGCTAAAGGCGGCGATTTCTAAAGAGTGTAAAGTTTGCTGCACAAGAGATTGGTACACTATTTGTTATGACAAGCGCAACGGACTTTTGAGACAGCAAGAAAAAAAATATTTACGCGTTTTTATACAAAACAAAAATTCAATCGTACCAACAAGACAGTTAAAGAAGTTAGTGGCGGCGAATTTTAATTAAAACTAATTAAACCCTTTCTCCACTGTCTAAAAGCAGGCCCAGGTATGTGGTGCTTCTCCAGTTAACAAAACAAAGCTAGCGCCTTACATTTTTATGAGAAAGTTAATAAATATATTGATTTTGGAAGTAAAGGTTTCTGGAATACGAATTTTGTTTCTTGTATAAGCTCTTTTCTTTTCTCACATATTTTCTTTTATTATAACTTTCACTGTCTCTGCGATCCCACAGATATAAAAAATAATAAATACGGAAACATGAACACCTCTCTGTCAATGCATTCTTGTTTGCAAATTGGATATCTGACATCAACTTATTCGAATAGCGGCTCAGTGCAAGGATCATGGAGAAGATCGGATGACCTGCTTTCTCGACGTCGACAATCTACAAACGGCGCAATCGTCCCGAAATTCCATTTTTAAGTTCGATAAATGAATTTGTTTTAATTTATTGACACTCATGGCAATTATGTACATATGTAAGTAGTTGTCAAGACAAGTTAGCCACTAACTTTGTAACGGTAAGTGGGTGCTAGAACAGATCTAATAATATGGAGAATGCTCAATTACATTTAATATAATCGCAATTACATTTAACTATTCTTAATATGAGGTATTCGCAATTATTCGTAATTATATTTAACTGTTCCCAATTACATTTGTTATATTCCTAATTTCATTTGACTATTTCCAATTACATTTCACTTATTATAATTTACATTAATTCACAAATTCATTTCAATATTCTTAAAATCAAGTAATATATTCGCAATTACATGTGAAAAAGGTGTAGTAAGTGCACCTTTGAATATACAAGAAAATTATGCAAGTTAGTTTAAGTGCGGGATAAATGTATATCTCTAATTCTGTATATCATTTACGAGGTAACGCTGTCAAGTTTTTTTTTTTGTTCATAATTTTGATTTCGCAATAATAAATTAGCCGATTTTTTCCCACAAAATTGTGTTTTTCACTTCAAAGTGTTCGAAAAAATGAAAAAAATTGGAAAAAAAAACTCGACAGCGTTACCTGGGAAAAACTATTATCTAACGAATGAACTTTGATTTTTTGATTTCAGATGATCCAGCACCAAGTTATGAGGGGCACCGCAATTCAACTTTTTTTCGAGACACGTCCGAACAATTGCTGCCATTGCCGTATTTTTTAATATTTCTTTGTACAAATTTGATGAAACATTCTTCGAATGTCATACTTCAATTCACGAAATTCACGAAAACATGGCTTTTTTCGTATGATTTGACCTTAATAGGGTTATTTTAGAATTGTCATGCTTTCAAATAGATAACAAAAATTCCCTGAAAATTTGAGCTCTTTTAAAGAGTTTTAAAAAGCGAAACAAGATTTCCCCATGTTATTTTTATAGGTTTTTAGGGATCAGTTTAAAAGCGTTTAAGCCACTGGGAGCATGACAATTCAAAAACAACCGAATTAAGGAACACCTATTGTATTAACATTACTGTTTTTTTATGGAAATATTTTAAAATGGCTTCAAAATAAATTATTTTATTATGTTTCAACCACCCTTAACAGTAAATAAAGTAACAGTACAGTAATTAAAAAGTCAAATTGGTACTGGGGTAATCTTGATTTTTTACTATGCTATACCTAATTTTTTATAGGGTGATGAAGCAACTTTTGTCTGCGTTATAGGTATATGTCACTGTCAAACATAATACAGTGTCTCCCAAAATTAACGGCGCAAATGGTAAAGGTCACGGCGTACTTTATCCCAGGTGGGAGTGTAGCCCCCACTCCTCATCGAAACTATGACGTCAGGAGGCCGATCTGATTAACGGGTGCCTAATGTATTACATTGCTTTACAACCAAAGTTATACATTATTATTGCTCTTAAGGAGTACTTTGAATTTATATATTTAAAATAAGTGTAGTTTAATTTTTATTATATGGAATAATAAAAAATAATTTTGTTAAGTTTAATTTTATAAAGAAATTAGTTTAATTTATCTATTACTATTAAGAATAATTACTTTAATTAAATTTTCTTGTATTTAAATATAGAAATTATACTGTTTTAAATATTAAAGTTTACTTTAAATAAATGAATATATTCATTTAAAAAATGGGTTTTCAACAAAACATAGTAGATTTAATTTAAATAAGATTATATTTGATTTGAATTATACCTAATATTTTTGCGTAAACATAAAAATGTTGGTTATTTAGAACTGCTGTTAAAATTGCAATTTATTTAAAACAAACATACAATTGTTATAAATAAAAATACATAGGTAGGCTACTGCAAAGTTTAACATCTTGTTTTTTTTGCAGCTATAACATTATTTCTTAGCTTTTTGTAATTAGATAACAATACGTTTAACATGATGCTAGTTATTGTTGCAAGTGTGTTGGGTAACGGCTTATTACAGATGCAAGTATCTGACGAATTTACTCGTTCTGAGATACTTTATCATATGTTTCAGAAGTGCATGATGAATCAATTTTAATAAACGTATTATAATTGATTGTTGTGAAAGTATAGTTTAATAATATATGCAATTATAATATAATATAATATTATATTATATAAATTTATATTAGGGTAAAATTTTAGCGTGCATTAGTTTAAATACTTTGAGCATTGGATTAATTAATATGCGCATTAGAATAATTTATAATGCGCTATAATAATCAGATTAACCAGTCTCTTTAGCTAATGTCAAAGGGCTATTTGAAGCATGCCATCGGGGCAAATCATAAAACTGTTTTTTATAAAGAAATATTGTAGTTAATTTTTTTATATAGTATTTTGGCATCAAATTTTTTAGTCTATACATAAAATAAAAGAAACATAAGCAATATTTCTATAAAAGAGATAATTTTAATTGACAGTTGGGGACGGGACAAAAGAATTTTTTTTCTGCTGGGCCCAAAGAGGCAAAAAACCTCGGGCCGGCTCTGACAATCATGATTCGATAAACTGACTTGTATTACCGCGATAATACATTAATTTTCCTGTTGCCTGTTAGGAACGCAACATTTTCTTGGTATTTCTTATGTATTTATAATGTTATAAAAGCAGCAAACGAATGTTTAAATCGGGCGATATCAATAAAAAAGCTATAGATAAATTATATGAAACTGTCTTGTATTACCGCGATTATACACTAATTTGCTATTGCAGTCGGCCTCCTGACGTCACACCTCCCAGTACTCCCGCCTGGGATAGTGTACCGTACACTGTGTACGCCGTGTAAATGTAAATACTCTTCCTAGACGAATCTATAATTATAGACACTGTATGTAGGTGGTTTAAAGAATTCAATCGTTGCCGTTGTTTACAAATTACGTGAATGTCCTTCAAAGTGGTTTGAAAAAGTTAGTATATAGTTATTTATTATCTAAATATAAATACAAACCCTCTTATGGTCAATGCAAAGTACAAATCAGATACAAGAGATACCTTTTATTATTAAGTCTTCATTGTCATCCAATGATGTGAAAAACTTCATCAATATTCTTTTTTCAATAATTGAAATTTTATTATTTGCAAATATATCTGATCTGGAACATGGTACTACTTCCAAAGTATTATTAAACCATGTTAGTACCCTTGTTATACTTCTATATTCAGAATATCGTGCAATATTTGATGATATTAGAAGTTCAATAAAATCGCCTCTGGCATATTGTACCTTAAAATTTAAAAAAAATATAAATATGATACAATAATAGTAAATGTAATAAAACCTTTGGGGTTAAATCAATATTAAATTTTCTAGATTCCTTTAGTAGATCATCTTTTAACCATTTCTTTGCACAAATTTCTTTAGCGATAATATCTTCTTGGGCTGAGTTTTCCTCATCACTATAATTCTTATTTTTACTAAAAATTAAATAAGTTTTAGGCTTAAATCTTTAGGGATATGAAATGCTTACATTGTTTGTGGGTGTACCCTAGGGTGAGCCAAAAAAACTAACCTATCGGATTTATGGGTTAAAATGAACCTACATACCGAGCAAAAAATTTCCCTGCAAGGCAAAATTTTTTGCTCAATTTTAAAAGGTGTCGGTTTTCCATTGAAATAACACGTAAAAAAATCTTTTTTTATTAAAAAGACTATAACTTTTGAACCGTTTGAGATAAAAATTTTTACGTCGCGGATTCTTGTAGAGCATAAAATTTCCCAAAGAATCTATACCAGGATTATTTTTTTTAATTCAAAAATTCGTATGTTTGAAAGCTTTGAAAAGTGTAAAAAATCAGTCAAAACTGCAGTTTTAGTGATTTTTTTACACTTTTCAAAGCTTTCAAACATACGAATTTTTGAATAAAAAAAAATAATCCTGGTATATATTCTTTGGGAAATTTTATGCTCTACAAGAATCCGCGACGTAAAAAAATTTATCTCAAACGGTTCAAAAGTTATAGTCTTTTTAATGAAAAAAGATTTTTTTACGTGTTATTTCAATGGAAAACTTAGAATGCTCACCGACACCTTTTAAAATTGAGCAAAAAATTTTGCTCGGTATGTAGGTTCATTTTAACCCATAAATCCGATAGGTTAGTTTTTTTGGCTCACCCTAGTGTGCCCGTTAATGTACCCTGAATGTCGCTAATAATCTTTTGAAATAACGTTAAACGCTCAAATGTAATATGTAATGCCTATAAATGCATATTAGGAGGTTGGCGAATAACACTGTGCGACAAATTTTGACCTTACAATTTGAACTGGGATGAAATGTGGAAAAATCGAATCTATGCAACCCCCAAAACTAATCTTTAAAGGGGTTTTGCTAGTTTAGCTCGAATAATGGAAATATACAGGGTGTTTCTTTTAACTTGAGACAGCTCAATATCTCGAGAAATACGCATTTCACGGAAAAATGTCTTAAATAAAAGGTTAATGTGACCAAAGGGGACATTATTTGGTGCTACCGCTAGCCACCCCCTACCCCTCCTTAAGGGTGAAACTTTGGAAAATCAAATGGAATGACCCGATTTTCACAGAGTTTGGTAGTACATAAAAAAATGAATAACTTTTATTTGAAAGTTTTTTTCAATTTATCAACAGATGGCGCTGTAATTCAAAATTTAAGAAAAAGGGGTTTCCTTGTAAAATGTATTATTTGAAACGTTTGAAAAACAAAAATTAACATTAAATCAACAATAGTCGGCTCTAAAAACAATTTATAACAAATGTTCGAAATGTCGTCCTTCCATTTCAACACATTTTTGAATGCGGGTAATGAATTCTGGCACACAACGCGCCAACATGTCGGGCGGTATCGCATTCCATTTGACTTTCCAAAGTTACCCCCGTTTCACCCTTAAGGAGGGGTATGGGGTGGCTAGCGGTAGCACCAAATAATGTCCCCTTTAGTCACATTAACCTTTTATTTAAGACATTTTTCCGTGAAATGCGTATTTCTCGAGATATTGAGCTGTCTTAAGTTAAAAGAAACACCCTGTATATCTCCATTATTCGAGCTAAAGTGGTAAAACCCCTTAAAGGATTTGTTTTGGGGGTTGCCTAGATTCGATTTTTTCAGATTTGATCCCAGTTCATTTTTTGTGTTGCACAGTGTAATTTGACCATTATTCTATTTTTTTGTGCATATTTTTAGATGTTCACAAGCTGCACACGTATTTTTTAAATTCCCCACCTCTAATTCGATTTTTTGTTTATTTTTATTTTTTAAGAGAAATTATGTTTTGTAGTTATATTTTAAATAATATAGAAATAAAAATGTTTTTCAAGCGTTTTTTTATATTTCAGCATATCGTCGCTTAAGTTTCACAAGGTTTCAAATACATTTTGGTAAATTTTACAGTAAAGCAATTTTTATGGTTTGCATTCAGGAAATATTATTATGATTTATATTGTAACGGTTTTTGAGTGGAACAATGTAAAATAATCTATTACTAACGTGTTTAACAAAAAAAAATCTGTAAAAATTCCAAAATTGAAAACTTTAAAAGAAAATTTTGAAAACACTACATTACGTACTTAAAACCATCTAACCTTACTTACTTAATAAAAATAATAAAACGCGATTTATAGTGTTATACAGGGTGAGTTTTAAGTTGACGCGTTCCTTTTAACAGCGTGTAGAAATCAGATAGACAAATAAATATTTTAAGTAACTTTTTTATCAAAACTCAAAAATAAGCGAGTAATAGCCCTTCAAAGTTTAATTAAATTTTGAGCCGGTCCTGGCATTTTGCATTGTTTATTTTGTTATTTTTATTTTTATGGTTATGTTTTTTGTTAACAATAATTGTTAACAAAAAACATAACCATAAAAATAAAAATAACAAAATAAACAATGCAAAATGTCATCTATGACAACAAACATAACCATTTAAACCAAAATAACAATAATTGAGGCCCAAAAAAAAGTAAGTAAATAATGACATTTTTCATTGCTAAATGTCATTTTGATTTAAATGGTTATGTTTGTTGTCATAGATGACATTTTGCATTGTTTATTTTTATTGTTATGTTTTTTGTTAACAATAGCCAGGACCGGCTCAAAATTTAATTAAATTTTGAAGGGCTATAACTCTCTTATTTTTGAGTTTTGATAAAAAAGTTACTTAAAATATTTATTTGTCTATCTAATTTCTACACGCTGTTAAAAGGAACCCGTCAACTTAAAACTCACCCTGTATATGTTCAACTTTTATTTGTAATTAAGTGAATAGCAAAATTAGTAAAAGACTTAACAAATTAAACAGATCTACTACTGCAAAACATGGCTCTTCCTGATTCAGGAATCCTGAATATGTTCAAGATGAATGGCGCCTATTTATTGACAGCTCAGGGCGAAGTTTGAAAAGTGTCCTTCTACACAATGAGAACGAATATGGTTCAATACCAATTGCTCACTCAACGAAAATGAAAAAAGGATATAACACCATAGCTTAATGGCATAAGAAAGAAAACATGGATGTTAGGGAAAAGAATGTAATTACGACCGCTTAGTTGAACGAGAGAAATTCATCTTTCCTCCACTGCATATCAAGCTAAAACACAGTTCTCAAAGGCTCTTGATAAAAGCGGATCATGCTTTGCATATACAGAGGGGAAAATGCCTCAGTTTAGTTGGGAAAAACCTAAAGCAGGAATATTTGATGACCCACAAATAAGACAACTCGTTAAGGATCATACCTTCGTAAATTCGATGAATAAGGTTGGGAAAACGCAAAGCTGAATACTATGTTAAACTGGTAAACGGGATGCTTAACAGTTTAAATCCCTTGGATGTAACATGAGTATTAAGGTGCACTATTTACACAGCCACTTTGATCGTTTTCCTGAAAATTTAGGAGACATCTGTGAGGAACAAGGTGAAAGATTTCACCACAATAATAAAACTATATAGGACCGCCACCAAGGAAGACGGGATCAGCACATGATTGCAGATTATTGCTGGAGTTTAAAAAGGGACTGTTCCAATATACATTTCAGAAAGTCGCGAAAAAGAACCTTCAGTGACTTCAGTATTTAGTGACCATGTAGTTGGTTTTATCGATTATTGTTTCGTCTATATTTGTATATAATATAGTATTATATAATATCATTATATATTTGTAATAATCATTACATTTGATTTGATCCATGGATTTAACTTAAAACGTGTGTAACGTATATTTTACTAAATTTAAGATATTTCAGAACTTTTAGGCAAAAACCAATGCCATATTTGAATTCGGGGCATCAAATTTATATAAAATCAGCTCCAAATACCCCGGCAACAAAATAGTTATTGGCCTATGTAATTTGAAGGGCGAGGATTATAGGAAAACATGCCAAATAAATTTGTTAATCTTCAACCGGTTTAAAATTGTTGTCTGTTTTGTCAAAACTCGACAGTTAAGTCTATGGCCTTGAATTGAGCCCTCTTCGCTGATCCACAAAAATATAAACAACGTCTTGAGAAAACTGTAAATAGACATGGACGCAAGAAGTGAAAAAAACTCCCCTTTTCTTTTCTCCCCCTATCACCTATTTATACAGGGCTACGCAAAAGTTACTATGCAGACCTAACTTTAAAAAATTGTACTTTTTTGCTAATAAAGCTATCGACATTAAACAAACTGTTAATTTTTAAGAAAATATTTCTCTTTTAAACCATATAGGACACATTTAGTTATTGATGCCCTAAATGGCCTTTGGGAATTTTTTTAAAAATGCAATTTTTTGTCAAAATTGTCTAATTTTATAAATTCATATATTCTTAGAACAACTGGCCAGCAAAAATTTTTTTAATGTAGTTTGTTACCAAAGATCTTACTCTATATAAAAGCAATGAAAACATTTTCAAATAATACTGTTCAAAAAAATATAATAAAAATTCATGTTTTCGAAAAATCACTATTTTCAGCCATTTCATGGTTTAAAAAGGCAATGTTTGAGTGAGTCGATTTAAACCAATTTATGCTTATCATCACATGCACTTATTAGCCTCCAATAACCATTAATAAAATTATTGTGTATTTTGCTTTTAACTGGGCTGTGGATGTATACAGGGTGTTTCAGAATAAGATGCTGAACCTTAAGGGTGTGAATCCTTAGTTGATTTTAAGAAAAAAAGTTCAAATAAACCTATGACCTAAACATTTTTGAGTTACAGGGTTACAGTTACCTAGATATTTTTATAAAATTTGGCACACGCCTTCTAAGCATTAACAGTAAGTTTTTGATGTAGAAGATTTTTTAGAAATTATAGGCACATGGCAATATGCGCATTAAGAAATCAAATTTTCCCTAAAATAAATGGGGATTTAAAAAATAATTTTTATTTTGAAAAATAGCAGTGGCGTGCATAATATTTTTCCAAAAATATCTATACCACATCCTGTACGGACGCCACTGGTAA